CAGATCTTATTTGGTGACAGCTGCAACAGAAGTGACTCCCTTCTGAAGAAGATGAAATATTTCTTTTGGTTTTACTTCTTCCTGGTTCTGATGATTTTTACTCTCAATTTGTTTTAATTTCACTAATAAATAATTGTTCTAATTTTGGTACATCCTTATATAAAATGGACTGAACAAATGCAGTTGTCATCTATCTGTATTAGACACCTCCAGTATGTTAAGTATTTAGAGTATTGGGAAGATCATGCAGTAAATATTCTATTAAATATATGCAGCGTATCAGAAAATTTTTAAGAATTAAATTTTGAAATTTGGTGCCTGAATGAAACACCATTCATTTTCTCCCACATCTGATTTCATTTTTAATTTGTGCTTTTTTATCCTGTTTAGAAGAGATGGATTAATTTAATTTAGCAGTTTTGAGAAGTTGTAAATAAATTAAATCAACAAAATTCTTACTCTTTCTTATAGCAATATCAATAGCACTTAAACTGATGTACTGCTTCATAGTGCTTTATAACCTTCTGTAAGCAGTTTATAGAGTCAGCATATTACCCACAACAATCTGGGTCCCCATTTTACCGACCTTGGAAGGATGGAAGGCTCAGTCAACCTTGAGCCATTCAGAATCGAACTCCTGGAATATGCAGTGAGTTAGCCTGCAGTACTGCATTCTAACCACTGCGGCACCACAGCTCTTATCATTAAAGAAAAAAAAAATCAGTTGGTTTTTTTTTTTTTTTAATTTGATTTATATGCCGCCCTTCTCCGAAGACTCAGGGCGGCTTACAATGTGCTCAGCAATAGCCTTCATCCTTTTGTATATTTATACAAAGTCAGCTTATTGCCCCCACAAACTGGGTCCTCATTTCACCTACCTTAGAAAGGATGGAAGGCTGAGTCAACCTTGAGCCTTGGCGAGATTCGAACCCTGCAGTAATTGCAGGCAGCTGGTCTTAATAAGCTTAATAACAGGGTGCCTTAAACCCCTGTACTACCAAGGCTCTGTTTTCAGAAACTAGTAGTAACTTCAGAGTAATAAACTCTGAAGCAGCCACAGTTTTCCAAAATTGCATTCCCTCAGGAGTCATGAGTCCCAGATTTTGGACACATTCTTTAAGTTAGGGAATATTTTTAAAAGAAAACAAGCATGAGTGAATAAACTGTTTACAATAAACATTAAGAGAATTATATTGAGTAACACAAAGCTGATGAGTGAAACTGTAATTGTGAATGCAGGACACATTATTTCTTGATAGTGTTAAGGGTACCCAAAAGTCAGGCAGTGGTGATGGCGGTGGAGAAAGTGCAGAAAGAGAAAGTGTGAGTTGAAAGTCTTAGAAGAAAAATTAAGCTGCTAATAGAAAGTGAATCTAAAACTGGGGAAAGGATCTCCTAAAAATAATGAAAAATGATGGTGCAGAAATGTCTAGACTTACGTTAAGGGCAAGTATGTTTAGGGTAATGAGGTAAAAGAAGCTATGACTGAGGAGAATATATATATATATATGTCAAGAATAAGAAAGATAATGACAATTGCAAAAAAGGCAGTCAAAAAGATCAGGCAAGAGTTAAGATTTAAAGAAAAATGGTCAGCAATAGTGATTAATTTTTTTACAAAAGCTTTTGGAAGTAGATGAAGTAAATTAAACAAGGAGGTTCCAGTGGAGTCAGTGAAATTAAACAATAGAAACGATGAACTGATTCTGAATGAAACCATAGGGAAACATGGAAAGGAATAGTCTAGAGATTTAAATGGGAATATTACTGATAGGTCAAAGAATGGAATTAAAATGAATGTTATCAGTGTTACAATTCAAGAAGAAATGATGAAAAGCGAGCATTAACTGCTGTGAGTATGTTGGAAAAAAATGAGACTGCTGGTATAGGTAGACTAACTATGGAGGAATATTAAATTCTGACTATAGTTTGCTTATGAAGTGGCTATACAATTTATTTAACATTTCATAACTGGAATAATGGTATTATTGTTCCCTTGTACAAAAGGAGGCAAGAAAGGGCCTGAAAAATGAGTTGTGGGTGTGTGAAGTTATTGTGTTAAAAATGCCTGGGCAGATGTTTGGCCAAATTCTGATTAAAGGGAAGAAGTGGTAAAAATGAGCAAAATTTGGAAAATGCAGTCTGGCTTTAAGCTGGGTAGGTGGTACATTGTCCAATTTTTACTGATCAGCAAGTCATCCAGCAATGCCTTAATGTCAGAAGGAATTTTAAGTTTCCTGTATTGTAAGGTTTTTTTTTCTTTTAATTTAGAAAAAGTATGGAATAAAGTGAATAGGCTTGAAGTATGGAATGTTCTACATCAGGGGTGTCAACCTCAATTTCATTGAGGGCTGTATCAGGGTTGTGTTTGACCTTTGGGGCCAGGGTAGACATGGCTGTGGGCGTGCCCATAGTGGGTGTGGCCAACTTGACATCACTTTTGCCAGGGGTGTCTTTGATGGCCCAAGGATTCTGCCAGCAAAAACTGGTTCCTGAGTGGTCCAATTTTGGCCATGACAGCCTCCTGTCACCCTCTGCCAGTGAAAATAGAGCTCGAGGGGCCTCATGAGCCCCTTTCGAGCTCTGTTTTTGGCCGCAATGGCCTTCTGCCGCCCTCTGCCAGTGAAAACAGAACGACTCTGCCCCAAGCTCTATTTTTGCTGGCAGAGGGCAGCAGGAGGCCATCACAGCCAAAAACAGAACCGGGGAGGGGCACGTGCAACAGTGGTGGGTTGTTCCTGATACCCCCAATTCAGGCGAACTGGCAGTGGTGGTGGCGAGAGGCTTCGTCCACCTATCCAGACATCATCAAAAACACTCTGTGCATGCACTCTGTGCATGCGCAGATAGCAACTGGTAGCCCTGGGATTTGAAACCCACCATTGACATGCAGCCCCCTGAGTTCCATTTTATCTCGCAGAGGCACTGCAGGCAGTCCTTTGCTGTTTCCAGAGCAGCCCCTCAGGTTGGATCTAATCATCTCATGGGCCAAATCCAGCCTACAGGCCTTGAGTTTGACACCTCTGTTTTACATAAATAAGACAGCCAATTTGGTAGAGTGGTTAAGGCAACAGGCTAGAACATTTGGGGACCATGAGTTCTAGTCCTTCCTTAGGCACCAACTCACCTTTCGGCTTTGGGATGATCACTTTCTCTCATCCCAAGGCCGAAGACAATCCCAAGGCACATCACTTCTGAAAATCATGCCAAGTAAATTGCAGGGGTTTATCCAGGTGGTTGTCAGAAGTCAAACTGACTGGAAGGAACACATACTGCTCAAATATGGAGGTGAAGGTTGGTTGCTGAATGCAGTAAGAATTCTGTAGGAAGAAAAGGAAACATGTGAGAAGAAATCGCCTAGCAAATAGTTCAACATTAAATGCAGAATAAGAGAAGGAACTGTGTTGTCCCTTTGATTGTCCAAACTAACATTAGAGAGGGCATTAAAGGGCTATTGATTGGGAATGTGATTATTTGTTAATTAAAAATGAATAACTTTCAGAAGCTAGTAGATAAATTATATGATGCAATGAAAAGAATTGATTTGTAAATTAATGTATCAAAGACCAAAGCAACTTGTTTGATAAGGAAAATGAAAAATAAAAAAAAAAAGTGGGGGGAGGCCAAGTGGAGTTTGGACTGCTTGATAAAATTTTCTCTTAAGATGGGTAAACAGATGAAGAAATTTTAAGTCATGCAAACGCTAACAGAAAGTTTATGTATAATATACAATCTGTTGCAAAGAATGAATGTGCATCGAATGAAATGAAAATTACTGTTTATGTTTGTGCTTGCTTTGTATATGGAAATAAAAGTCAGGGGACTATAGAATTAAATTGAATGAGTTGTTTAAGAAATGTGTGGTAAAAGGGCTAAAATCAAGAATGAATTTGGACTGAACAAATGTGGATTAAATACAAAAATGAATGGACGGTACAAAAACTATGTTGGAGTGGCTTGGTCACAGAAACAGAATAAAGTAGAATTATATATGATATGAGCAGGAATCATTATCTTTCCTTTGTGAGATCTCCATAGTTGCCCAGGCAGCAATGTTCTTCTATATTTCCTCCTCTCTTACTATGTGGTTATAGTGCATACTCCTAATCACAGATAGAGGTATCTGTTTCTAATCATGATGATGGCAGAATGTTAAAATGTGCAATATAAGATTGTGCTATAAACTCTGCCCTTTTGTATTTGCATTACAACATCACGTACAAGTAACGCGAGGGACAGAATTTGCATCACAAAATTATAGAACATATTTTGTCCCTTGCCCTCAATTGCTCCTCTCTATAGTCAGCAATCACATATTATATTGGAACAAGGCCACACTACTCTGTAGCTAATTAGATATAGTTACCCTTCAGTGTTATGGAAGGAAAGTTAAAGCAATTGCAATTCAATGGATTTCACAAGTTGCTCTGCAAAGAAGTGAACATTAGGGAATTTAATGAGTGACAAAGTTTCAGTCCACTTTTGATCACATGGCAGAAATTTGACATGAAAGGAAAAATTGACATGAAAAGCTTTGTTTTGCAAGCATAACACAAATAAAAGGCATTTCTAATCAATCATTTGAACAGAATGCAAGTAATTTAGTCTAGGAAACTAAATCAGCTTGTTAATGACAGTTGCACTATATGACATGAAAGAAACCAACTGCATTATTTTCTTTTTAAAAAAGCCTGTGTTTTTCTCTCATAAGAATTATGTCTCCCTCCAATTTATTTGTTGATTGTAATGCAGGAGTAGATAGTTTAGTATCTCCCTCCCACTGAGTAATATGAATTCTAATTCTTACTATGTCTTGTGATTGAGCAATCCAAAATGACATCAATTTCTTTTTACTGAAATCCAAACTAACTTGAAGAGTTTGGATTTCTTATCCCTGATTTAGTGCTTGAGGGAGTATCACAGGTGAACCTCCTCAGTATACCATATGAAGGAGAAAAACTGAACTGTGCATTTTAAAAATGATTTTTCTTTCCTTCTAGGGAATTTGGCCGTTGGAAGGTAAACAACTTAGCTGTAGAGAGAAAGAATTTTCTTGGCTCCCCGTTGCCTCTTGCCCCTGAATTTTTCCGAAATGTAAGGCTACTAGGACGGAGGCCGACTCTTCAACAGATCACAGAAAACCTTATCAAGAAGTATGGGACCCACTTCCTGCTGTCAGCTACTCTGGGAGGTAAGATCATTTTTATTAAACTAGGTATACCTTCAGCTCAGGTACTGAAATTTTACTAGAACCATACAGATGGCCCTCATTATCTTCAGCCTCATTATCCGGAGTTTTGCCAATCTGCAGTTAGTAAATATAACCCAGGCCTCTTTATCTGCAGTCAAGTGTTTTGTATAGCCATGGTTTCAGGTACGTGTTTCTAATGGATTATTTTCTGTGATTCTGGAATATAATTTCCCAATTTCCATAGAGTTATTCTCTCATCAAAGAAGTTATCTGCAATTTTAGGCTGAAAATCTCTGCAAATAAAGAGAGTGGGATGGTGAATTCATTTAAAAAAAAAACATCAAAACTCTGACGGGATTATATGTCTTTTTCGTTTTAAATAAAAGTCATGATGATGATAGATGATGAAGATTGATGACAATGATGCTTTAGTGGGAAAGAAAAATTGTTTGTAGGATTAGAAATTGCAAACCAGAGCAAATACAAGAGATACATTAAGTATGTTCACAAAACTTCAGCTAAATTTATTTATTTATTATTTATTATTGCGATTTATATGCCGTCTTTCTCCCGAGGGACTCAAGGCGGCTTACAAAATGACAATTTCCAATACAAATCACAATAAAATTAAATTAAAATCAACAGCCCAATTAAAACAGTTTAAAATTATAACAGTGTACAGCCAAACGGATCAGCTCGCGACGGAAGGAAAGAAGGTATGAGGCTGTCTTGAGCTTGGTGGGCAATCCATTCCAGAGGGTCGGGGCTCCCACAGAGAACGCTCTCCTCCTGGGGGCCGTCAGCCAACATTGCCTGGCCGACGGCAATGAGGAGGCCCACTCTGTGAGGGCGCACAGGACGATGGGAGAGTGGCAGGAGATGGTCCTGCAAGTAAATGCACACTTTCATGGGAGTAAAACAGTATAGACTTTAAATCTTTTTTTTTTTTTAACTTAGCAGCATTCTACAATGAATGTCTTAGAAGGAGGAGGTGGGGGAGGGAGGTGGAGAATGGAGGGAGGGAGGGAGAAGAAAGGCCAATCATTGGCCGCCAATGTGACTTGAGATGGTCCTTTATTGTCATTGCACAGCAGGTCACAAAGAGAGTGTTTCGCTGTCTGCTGAAAGCCAAATATATGCTTGTTTCCACACTGATTATTTTAATGTATTCTAATCTGTTTTCTGTTCCTGGGTTTGGCATAAAGTGATTGATGATTGTTGTGTCAAGAGGAGGAGGCAATATTACCTGATAACTTCCTTGGAGGTTTTTTTTTTTTCCTCTTTTTTTTTTTTTGCTGATTATGGGATCCAAGGTTTGCTTTGGAGATGCTGTGCTCCATTTTTTTTCTCCACATTTCCATTTTTCCATTTCAGAAGGTTGCACTGAAAATATTATCATAATGCTCTGATGAGCTTCAGGATCTATTTCTCTTTTTGATTTATAAGACATTGCTGAGTGAGGTCATTTAGGATATGATAAATGATTTATCACTTTGTTTCTCAGGTTCAGCATCACTATACATTCTTGTGAAGTTCAGTGGAATCATAGAAATATTGTGCCAGCACCTGAAATAATTACAGTTTGGATGAGAGCTAGTAAAATTAACTCACTCCAGACAAAGCAATGGTATTCTTGGAGAGTTAACATAGATCTGAAACTTCTTATGGACATGATTTATTCTTCAAATCTTCAAATTAGATTTACAGCTCAGGAACAGAAAATACCATCTATTTTGGTGGGTAGAATACCTTTTATTTTTCAGTATACAAGGATTGATAGAAGTTTGAGAAAAATTGGTGGAATTATGCAGCAGGAAAGATCATTGGTGCTCAGAACTGTTCATGCAGGCAGCTATCCCCCCTCAAAGTGACAATGGAGACAAAAAGCATTTTATCCTTTGGTGAGTGTTTATATTAAAGATAATTATTGAGATTGAATAGCCTTCTGCTAGCCAACTTGGCAAACAATCTTATAAAAAAACCTGCTCATCTTCAATTCATTTTCTGCAGGCAACATCTCAGCTGTATGTGGAGAAAATGACAGTCCCTTCATCCTGTTTAGTCCTTTCTAGATGCAACTTCCTTTTGTCATTTAAGATTACAACATTTTAAGCTTCCTCCATTTTTTTTGTAGAAAAGTACCAAATGGATGAAAAATGAAAGCATTCCACCTATATTTATGTCCTTTACAGTGTGTGTGCCCATTGTGCCATGATTGACAGTTCAATTGAACAAAATTTATAAAATACTGATAAAAACATGCTACGTTTTTCAGTTTCAGGCTAAGAATAAATTGTGCCAGAAATTGCCCATTTTGAAGTGATATACATTTCAAAATGGCATTCAGTCAGTCTCTGGCTGAAATGCTGCGCCCATAAAGTTTCTTGCCCATACAATTTTACTAAAAGTGTTTTGTTCAAGTTGGACTGAAAACTATTGAAACATTTTTTGGAGGAATATATTGCCAACTGTTTTGAATGATTCAAAATCATAGTAGAGTCAATCTTTATTTCCTCCTGAAACATGGAAATGCAGGTTGTGCATTTCTTGAGAAACCATTTTAAGGCAAGAAACATGCTGATGCCATGGGTTCTCTTGTGTTCTCCTGATCCCGTTCTTGCCCTCCTCTTGACCTTGATATCTGACAAAGGCCTTTTTTTCCCCCCTATCTTGGACTTTTCCATCAAAACAAAGTTATTCCAAAGCAAGGAGTATTTTGAGGGCTACCTTAAAGAATGACTGAATCTCTGAGAGTGGACAAAGCTGTGGTGGGTTTGGAGACTTCTTGTTATCAGGTTACAAGAAATGGATTAAAAAAGAGGAATTAATTTTATTTTTTAATTAACAATTAAGTCTACATAAAAGGGAAAAATGTTTTAAGGTTATTACACCCTAACAATTTCCCAAGAATTGTTTGTATGACCTTGAGCCTAAAATGAAAAGATTTCCATGTTATAAAAGGCAACATTTCAATAAATTATTTTCTACCAGCTCCTCGGGAGGTTTAAACTTCTGTTATGATCACACAATCCTCTCAGAAGGTCATCTTGTCATATGAATATTGAAAAGAAAATTCAATATTCACCTAACTCAATTCTGGTGCTCTTTTACCCTGTGGGTGATGTCTGATATGCATTTAATATTTGCAGACACTTTAACGCCTAATAAATATTAATCAAGATGTGTATTTCTTAATGGAAATTATGTCAAAAAGGAGAATTGGGAAGCTGGTATCTTGCAGACATCAAATGTGAAAGGAAACATTACATTCAATTGTGCCTGACAATTGAAGACTTATAAAAAAGTCTTAAGAATATAACATTCATATGTGGTTATCAGATAGGCAAAAATGCTGACTTATGTAGGCATCTGTCTAAAACATATAGAAACAACAACAACAACAACAACACATTACACAATTTCTATACTATACCAGTCTCTCAACTATGGACTATGAGATAGACTAGACTAGACTAGACTAGACTAGACTAGACTAGACTAGAATAGAATAGAATAGAATAGAATAGAATAGAATAGAATAGAATAGAATAGAAGAACAACAGAGTTGGAAGGGACCTTGGAAGTCTTCAAGCCCAACCCCTGCCTAGGCAGGAAACCCTATACCACTTCAGACAAATGGTTATCCAACATCTTCTTAAAAATTTCTAGTGTTGGAGCATTCACAATTTCTGTAAGCAAGTTGTTTCACTGATTAATTGTTCTAACTGTCAGGAAATTTCTCTTTAGTTCTAAATTGCTTCTCTCCTTGATTAATTTCCACCCATTGCTTCTTGTTCTACCCTCACGAGCTTTGGAGAATAGTTTGACTCCCTCTTCTTTGTGGCAATCCCTGAGATATTGGAACACTGCTATTATGTCTCCCCTAGTCCTTCTTTTCATTAAACTAGACATACCCAGTTCCTGCAACTGTTCTTTATATGTTTTAGCCTCCAGTCCCCTAATCATCTTTGTTGCTCTTCTAAGTTGAGTTCTTAGAAATGCATGTTTATATATGCATTACATATATCCTATAATCTTTTGTCTATTGGCTTGATACTAATTCTCATCTAATTCAGTGTATCTTCTGGACTGAATTTTGAAATGGCCAAGTTGGTACCCTTAGGAATGCATGTCTTCAATCTGACATGCTTTGAAAGTTACTATAGCTATGTTTACTACTTCAAGATGAAATTATTGAAAATTATGTAGGAAATAACTATGTTGAGCCTGAGGAAGGGGTCAAATGCATCATCAGCCTTGAGCTTCTTTGTACCTAAAAGAGATCTAAATCCAGTCTACCTTTAATTCCATTGACTCTTATCTACTGCCAATTTGCTTTGACTGTTAGTAGTTTGGATTCTTGTAGAGAACTTAAGCTTAAATTCCATATAGTCCTCAATTTACTTAATTACATGATTCAGACTTCTTTAGAAACAGTAAGGTTGTATCAGAATTTAATCCTGAGATTAGGGCTTCAACTATTCACCATATTCTCAAATAAACGTTTGCATATATGTCAAATAGTCTTGATATATTTTATTGACATTTGGTCTCTAGGGACAGTAATATTTAATATCCAATATGCAACTATATATAGCAGTTCACTGGAATTTAGAACACTTGAAAGTCAAAATTAAAAGAATTGTCATAATTGGAATCCACATCAATAAGAGATGAGACACCTGAGTGGGAGTTAATTACAGTAAAGAGCTGTGTCTTTTGTATGAATCAGGTCTTGTCTTGAATCATTTGTCTGAGGGTTTATTATAGATGAGACAGATCTGCCACAAATGCAGACACTGTATCCCTTGTGCTCTGCTTTTTAAAGATTTGATTAAAAAATAGGTTTCCCCAAAGAAATGTTTCTCTTTCCCACAATTGTACCTATATTTTCAACGCCTTGTCAGTAAGAAAGGAGAATGCCACTGTTGCTTTTTGTGTTCTTTAGTAGAGATGCCAAACATTGGTATTCACAGGCAGGAAAGCCAGCTTCGCAAATGGATGCACAATAATTTGATTTGCCTCTGCCATTCTGTCTCCCTTGGACAACTAAGGGATATCTAAAATGTTCCCAGGATCTCTGTATATATGGGCACTGAAGAAGGTTGCCCGTGGAAACTTAAGACAAGTTTTTGTTGAGTTTTGTTTTTAAAGCTATTCTGAGGAAATACAGCCAGTGGCATTTCAAGCCATTCTTTTCTTATTTGACTAAGGTGATTTTCATGACTAAGATTTTTTGTTAAATGTTGTTTCAACTCAAATGCAGTATTTTAAAGTACACTAACCAATAAACCTTTCTGCTGAGTAAAACAAAGTGGTATGACTTTATAGATTATAAATTATAGATTATATCTGACAAACATTCCACCTGCTTTAGGAATATTTTAATTTTCAATGAAAATTGAAAGTAGTAGTATATAGTATATACTAATATTTTGTCTATCTATCCAGCTTGCTCTGTCTCTCTCTCTCTCTCTCTCTCTCTCTCTCTCTCTCTCTCTCTGTCTCTGTCTCTGTCTCTGTCTCTGTCTCTGTCTATTTATTGCAACCATGTCCATGAAGGTTAGTCTAGTTTATAATTATAAATAACAATTTATAAAACTGGGGAGGTAGCCTTCTAAAGTTATATCCTGTCAATATTTCACATATATTATTCATTTGTTCTCTCTCTATTATTTATTTATTTATTTATTTTGTTTATTTATTTATAAAATTTATTGGTTATCCATCTTACCATAACTTTGGGCGTCTTATACTCATAAATTATTAATGTTTGTTCTATGCTTTGTAAATTATATTTAAGTAAGAAATGTTTGCGTTTGTTTTCATATACAGTACAATATATAACTTTTGACCCCTCCAGTTACCCATTTCTAATAAGTAAACTTCTCCAAAAATCCTCTCTTTTTTATACATACATGGATTTTGCAAAGGTATACTTTTTGTATACGGTGTTCCTAAATAATTGCTGTTCTATATGAAGTTTTGACTCAAGAAAAAAAAAACAAACTTAAATGCAGTTCTGGATTGGAGAGTCTGCCCTGGCAGATTATGCCAATTTGAATGTAAAATAAATCAGTGACTCCCCCCCTCTTAATGTACAGTTTAGCCCAAAAAAATTCTAATACTGATTAAAGGTTCCTATCCACAGCTCTGTTGCTTTATATAAGATTAAAAATGTCAGATATACAAAAGAATTGCAAATCATAGTTCATAGTATTTCCTAAAGGACTTGATTATCTCAGTAAAACTCTCTCAGTTGAACATTTGCAATAGGATAAAATAACAATACACAACTGCAATATAGTAAATGTTGAAATAGAGGGAGAAATATGTTTGTATTGTGCAGAACAGCATCTGAAAGGTACTAAAATCTGCAAGATGGCAGATGTAATATTATAACCCAAGCAGTGACTTTTTTGTACAGATCTGTGATGTTGATGCATGCACAAAAGCGGCAGGACATATCCTGCCAAATTGCAGGTTTTAACTTTCCAAAACACACTTTTGTTAGGTTACTTATGCTTTCATAAATGTGACCAATATATTTTGCCTTGCTGCTTCTCCAAAATAGATAATTACCTTCTGTGCAATTTATGTTCCTTGCATCACTAATAATTTTACAGAATGAGAAGACAGGCTTCAAAAATATGTCTACATTAAAGCAAAAGTAAGGGGAACAAACAGAAAACAATTCCAAATGTTTCAATCATCAGAACATCTATTATTATGCACAATGTAAATATAGGCTCCCAAATGATGTTTATGAATATTTAGCTAAAGCTGTCAGGCATTATTATTTTAGTAATGGCTTCAATACAGGGCCTTATAATTTACATCTCTATTGAACTAATTCATATAGCCATTTCTAAGATCTTTATGAATTTAATTCAATATTGCAACCTGCCGTTTCCTAATTCTTCTTCAGCTCTTTCTGAAATGATGCAGCATGACAATGCATTTCTGTTAATTTTTTGACACAAAATAAAAATGAAAAGAGGAACTCTCCTAGTCTGTGTGTATTTTGAAGAGATTGCAGGAATAAAAATTTGCAGGATGAATTAGATAGATAGATAGATAGATAGATAGATAGATAGATAGATAGATAGATAGATAGATAGATGACAGACAGACAATCATTGAATATGGGCAAAGGCAAGTTTCTTGGGAAGAAGTATCATGAGTCTTACTTCTGAATAAATATATATAGGTTCATTATTTCAGTTTCTATCCTGATCAAAAAAATCGGGGTGGGTAGGGGTGGGATGGAAATATAACAAAGCAGCAGTTCTAGTCTCTCTACTCACATCATAACTCACATGATATAATGTCTCATTTGGTAATGCTTTTTCCTTCTCTCAATATAGGAATTTGCCAGCCATGCAGGCTTAGGTATAGAGCTGACAGATAGGATAACATCAAAGCACATGTTATTTATACATTGAAAAGAGGTCTGTTTTAAATCTTCAACATCTCTCCAGAGCTGAGAAAGCAAATACTGTCTCAAGAATTCACAATGTTTTAGTTCCACTAGGTAGACCAGACCAGAAAATCAATCCCGTAAGAAGATTAGCACTATGCTTTATTGAGATATAATAATAGAATCTTGCTTATTTCTGTTATGGTCACTTTCCTTACTTGCTGCAAATTGCCAACATAAATGTTTTAACTGTGAAGAATTAATCCTAACTGAACAGTAGCTTGAGCAATCCAAAGATAATGGAAATGTTGGTCTGCCATATGAATGGCAATTTTTCTAGTTATGAATTTGTGTCCACAAGAACATCATCATTAGAGTATGGTCATCATTCTGGATAGTCTGCCAATCCCATGACTCAGTAACTGAATCACCTGGCAATTTCTTTTTCCTGTGAATGAGACTTATAAAAATAACAAAAAACAAATATACTTCAGTTTTACTTAGGGCTAGTGAAGCAAAATTCTCTAGAATTGTTATAAATACTGTTTTAAGAAATATTGAATAAATATAAACAATTAAGGCTGTAGAGTATTTTTTCCCAGTCCTTTTGCTGTTCTGTTAATTTTCCTTCCATAGTTCTCTAAATCACAAATATACATTTTACATTTGAACCTTAATTTGCAATAATTATTTCACATTAGATTCTACATTAATTTCTGTGTTGATATTAATATGGAATTCTTAAAGATCTATTATTCAATTTTTACTTTGTTTCTTTCATAGACAGCATAGATGAAGAGTATAAAATAAAGCTATTAATATTTAAAGCTAGTTACATATAAGCAATAGCTTATTTTAGCTTGTTATTGATCCTGTTAGGCTTTAGATAAGAGTAATTTCCAATGTTATTTCTAGAATCTTACTAACTAAAGATATTATGAACAGAATCTGCAATCAATGGATATGAATAGGTCAACATGTTCACTTTATATCTGCATTAGATTGTGGTGCAAAGCAAACAACATCACCCAACAAAATGATCCTAACGTATATTAACACATGCTTTTGCTGTGCATTATTGTTACATATACTCATTTTTGTATTGTCATTCTATAATAGAAAACAATTGATATATTACTTTAATTGATATAGACATTTTGTGTATACCTTTAGTATACCTTCTCTTTTGATTGGTGAACAGCAATGTCAAAAGTATGGAAAGTAGTAAACATTATAGAAAAAAAATGTTAATTTGAAAGGACAATTGTCTTTTGGTTTGTTCAAAATGCAGACCAAACAAAATTGTCTTCTAACTATCTAGATATTTTTTGTGCCAGAGTTCCTACTTCTAGTCATATCCTTGCAGATGAGATGCATAGGATTAATCCTAGTTATGTCATAAAAAACAAACAAACAAACAAACCAAAGACAAAATAAGTGCTGTAAACTTCTTTGACTTTTTTCTGGTATTGCTTGCACAGGAGAAGAGTCTCTCACAATTTTTGTGGACAAGCGGAAGCTGAGTAAAAGAACAGAAACAAGTGATCCCAGCATTAACAGTACCACAGTGACTCTGGAAACACTACACCAGCTGGCGGCCTCTTACTTTATTGACAGGGACAGCACCCTGAGAAGACTTCACCATATTCAGATTGCTTCCACTGCTATAAAGGTATGAAAACATTCTGCAACCCTTCAGTGCAAAACTGCATTTTATATATCTATATCTGTCTGTCTGTCTGTATAATATAATATAACAAGGTAGATTTAGGCTTAGAATTTAGACTTAAAATAACGTCATTGTCACTTTGAATGTACACTAATTGGCATACATTAAAATGAAATTTCATTGCATACAGCTCTCAAAGGGCCACCACCTCCAATATACACTACATAAACATGACTAAATAAATAAATGCAAAATTATGCATATACCCACATATATTATATGACACAGAGAAACCACACAGTCTAGTTTGGATGTATACATGTACATGGCGAGAAAAATAAATCTTGTGAGTTTACCAGATGGATGGCATAGGGACCAAAGCTGTTACAGAATCTGGTAGTCCTGCTAGAAATACTTTGAAACCTCCTCTCCAGAGAGGAGCAATAGAAACAGACCATGAAGTGGGTGTTTGGGATCTCTAACAATGCTTTGAGCTCTAAGCACATATCACTTATAAGCAGTATCCTGAATAACAAAGAGTGAGCTTGCTATAATCGGCTGTCCTTACCACTCTGTGTATGGACTTTCTATCTGAGGCACTGCTACCACCAAACGAAACAGTGATGCAATTTGTTAAAATGCTCTCAATTGTGCCTCTGTAAAAAGTGGCCAGGACAGAAGGAAAAAGGATGGCTACAGAATAAAGTGAAACAGCTTTAACACAATGTAATACAACCATGAAGACACTACGACTGCCTGAATATATAAAAAAAAAATGTTTGGACAGATGACCAATCATAAATCCATCCCAATTCCAGGTATAGTTCACAGACACAGTTGCAGCCAAATTGAGCAAGAATGACTCATACTGTGTATTCACTTCTCTTTTACTTGCCATTTTTGGCTCTCTTTCAACTTTCAATTCTTTCGCAGAATGATGTTGCCAAACCTCATCATTAAATGCATTTTATTGATTCATAATGTTTTATTGACATTCAAGGCAAAATTGATTTGTTTCCAAATTTTTCCTTTGGTTCAAAATAGTGTGTAGAACTGCGGTATTTATGCTTCATATCTTAATATATAATACAAAGCAATCTCCAATTTTCTTCATCAACAAGCGTTCTACAATATATTCAATCAATTTGCACCAGAGTCTTTGCAGGGTTGGATTTAGACCAAGTTAACTGCACATAGTTTATGCTGGAATCAATGAAATTGTTATATTATAGCCTGCTCAGATCCTGCCTTTTTCAACACACTGTTTCCCTCCTGAACATCCTCCCTATTTCAAGAAGAGGAATAAAAATGTAGGTTTGAATGTTCCCATGCATTTCTATTTTTGTATCACATAAAAAGCTGTAGAAATTATGACAATATTAAAGCAACAGCAGGCAAATAAATTAATGTTATTAGCCATCTTTCTCCCAGAATTTCCATGCAGTGTAATGACAAATCTTTATAATATTCGATAATGTATATTAGGCTCAGAGACACCATCAAGAGCCTCAGTGGTGCAGCGGACTAAGTGCTGTTAAGTGCTAGCATTTAGCTGCCAGCTGCCTACAATTAGTGCGAGTTCAAATCTCACCAGGCTCAAGGTTGACTCAGACTTCCATCTTTTCGAGGTAGGTAAATTGAAGACCCGGAGTGTGGGGGCAATAAGCCAGCTTTGTATAGAACAACACCGCTTGGGGGGGGGGGGCGCGAAAGCCTAATAAGCAGGTATATACATAAAAGTATGCAGGCTATTGCTATAATGCATTGTAAGCCGCCCTGAGTCTACGGAGAAGGGCAGCATATAAATTGGACTAATAAATAAATTGGACTAATAAATCTTGTTCTGAATTAGCAAGTGCAGTCAAATTTCCCTTTTCTAGAGTCAAAACTTCAGTAGCTCTTAAGGTTGATGGATGCTCAATACAGGTAGTCCTGGACTTACAACAGTTCATTTAGTGACCATTCAAAGTTACAGTGGCACTGAAAAATGTGACTCATGACTGTTTTTCATAGTTGTGACCTTTGCAGCACCCCCATGATCATGTGATCAAAATTCAGATAGCAATAGAACTTAGACTTATATACCACTTCATAGTGCTTTTACAACCTTCTCTAAGCAGTTTACAGAGTCAGCCTATTGCCCCCAACAATCTGGGTCCACATTTTACACACCTCGGAAGGATAGAAGGCTGAGTCAACCGTGAGCCGGCGAGATTTGATCTGCTGAATGGCAGATAGCAGTCAGCTGAAGTAGCCTGCAGTACTGCACTCTAACCACTGCGCCACCTCTTGGCAACTGGTTCTTATGTATGAGCTTTGCTGTGTCCCAGGGTCACGTGATCACCTTTTGGAACCTTCTGACAAGCAAAGTCAATGGGGAATCCAGATTTACTTAACAACTAGGTTACTAACTTATCAACTGCAGTGATTCATTTAGCAACTGTGGCAAGAAAAGTCGTAAAATGGGACAAAAGTAACTTAACAAATGTCTCACTTAACAACATAAATTTTGGCTCAGTTGTGGTTGTAAGTTGAAAACTACCTGCAGTTCTGTGAAAATAACTGAAAATGCTATTTTTTACCAAAATAAAGACCTATAATAAAAGAGCAATACTGCTTACTCCTGGGAGACAAAGCTGTGCATTTATAGCTTACAAGAATGGAAAGTGGACAACCATTTATATATGAGCCAGCAATGTGCAGCAGTTGCCAAAAAAGCCAACACAGTTCTGGGCTGCATAAACAGAGGGATAGAATCAAGATCACGTGAAGTGTTAATACCACTTTATAATGCCTTGGTAAGGCCACACTTGGAATATTGCATTCAGTTTTGGTCACCACGATGTAAAAAAGATGTGGAGACTCTAGAAAGAGTGCAGAGAAGAGCAACAAAGATGATTAGGGGACTGGAGGATAAAACATATAAAGAACAGTTGCAGGAACTGGGTATGTCTAATTTAATGAAAAGAAGGACTAGGGGAGACATGATAGCAGTGTTCCAATATCTCAGGGGTCGCCACAAAGAAGAGGGAGTCAAACTATTCTTCAAAGAACCTGAGGGTAAAACAAGAAGCAATGGGTGGAAACCATTCAAGGAGAGAAGCAACTTAGAACTAAGGAGAAATTTCCTGATGGTTAGAAAAATTAATAAGTGGAACAATTTGCCTGCAGAAGTTGTGTATGCTCCAAAACTGGAAATTTTTTAAGAAGATGTTGGATAACCATTTATCTGAAGTGGTATAGGGTTTCTTGCCTGGGCAGGAGGTTGGTCTAGAAGACCTCCAAGATTTCTTCCAACTCTGTTATTCTATTTCTATTTCTAGAAGATGCCAGATATAAATGCAGTTACCTCTGTGTTTCCAAAGAATCATGGGATACTAGCTATCTTGGTGCATTCCTAACATTGAACAGCCTTTGCACTACATAATTGTGTCATATGGAAACAAGTGAAGAAATCTTAGACAACTTTCATCTACATTTAGACAACTTTTGTCTACATTTAGCCTACATTTCAGAAAATGTTGGGATCCCCCTGAGATTAAGGATAACTGAATGAGAATATCATAATATTGCCAGCCATGATACTTTTAAACAACACTTCTTGGTTACTATTTAGTTATCCCTGTAATTCACAAATGCTCAGCAGTTTTCTCCTGCAGTAAACTCTTCAGTCTGCCTGAGGTAGCAATAGCACTTAGACTTACAGGTATATACAACTTCACAGTGCTTAACAGCTCTCTCTAAACAGTTTACACAGTCAGCATTGCCCACAACAATCTGGATCCTCATTTTACCAACTTCAGAAGGATGGAAGGCTGAGTCCACCTTGAGCTGGTGAAACTCGAAATGCCAAACTGCAGGGAGCCAGCAGGCAGCAGAAGTAGCCTGCAATACTGCATTCTAATTACTGTGCCACCACAGCTCTTCACCATATTCACCATAGGTAATGGCAAGGATCAGTAAATATGGCCTGAAAATATTCACTTCAGAATCTTTAGCAATGTGTGCAAATTGCAAGGGAGATGAACAAAGTCATCTCAATAGAGGAATAATTATGTAAAGGTTTCCTTGACAATTTGAGAATCTTCCACTCATATCTGATTTAAGAAAACAGTTTTTGTTTCATATTCTCACTAGGAATTCTTATACTTGCCTTCAAGGACATGCTCCTTGTCTGGAAATACACTCCCTTCAGCCTTGAGAGAGCATATTTAGCAGCACAGTGAGCTAGGAGCCCAACACAAATTACTGAAGCAGCATAATTATTTTAAAAGGAAACAACTGCCATTAAAAATTATGCTCTCATAAGATTAAATGCAATTGGATCATAGTATTTCAGTTCTAGCACCTGTAGCCTGTTCGTTAATCAAATTTTAAAAAACAACAACCCTAAGCTAAACAAAAATTTAAACAGCTCCAAAACATTTACATAAATGCTGTACATTTCGTTCACATCACTAATTCTATATGTACATAATTTAATGTATAAAATTATTATGTATAAAATTATACATAATTTTGAGAAAAAAATGTGAATGCCTTCTATAAAATACAAACACAGAGGAAAAAGAAAAAAAAAAGGATACTCAAAAGCCTGTTGTACCACAAGAGTTCCCATAGCTATCATATTTGCAAAAAAATGAAGTCTGGAATAATTTATCATAATTTTAGTACTTCAGTTTTATCAAAACAAAATTACTTGCTCCTTTTATTCATCCCATCCTAATGAGATCATGGGAGGATGCAATACCAAATAAGGACAAAATTACCTTAATATAACAGTAATGGGGAAATTAATCCAGAATTCACACTGAGGAAATGCTGTGATATGCAATTTTAATTTGCTGAAATTTTTACTCCTAAGCAGGACAGAATCATCAAGGATCCACAGTGATTGGATCTTTGATCCAGTTATAAGGCCAAGACCTCATTTACTGCAATGTTGTGGTATTAAAAGATAATTATGAATAATATTCGGTGTTGAATTGATATGCCGATCTCAT